AGCAAAGTGCTGCGCCTGCCACGAAATCTGCGCCGGTGCCCAGCCGACGCCAGACGACGCCAGACGACGCCAGGGCGTACATCCGACCCCTTGGCAAGCAGCAAAGTGCTGCGCCTACCACGAAATCTGCGCCGGTGCCCAGCCGACGCCAGACGACGCCAGACGACGCCAGACGACGCCAGGGCGTACATCCGACCCCTGGGCAAGTCATGTTGTGTGTGTGCTGTGGTGTGTGAGACGTTGTGTGTGGGATGTTCTCTGAGTGATGTTGTCATCCGACCCCTTGGCATCCGATGTTGTGTGAGTGATGTTGTGTGTGCGCTGTTGTGTGTGAGATGTTGTTGTGAGAGATGTTGTGTGTGTGCTGTGGTGTGTGAGACGTTGTGTGTGTGGGATGTTCTCTGAGTGATGTTGTCATCCGACCCCTTGGCATCCGATGTTGTGTGAGTGATGTTGTGTGTGTGCTGTTGTGTGTGAGATGTTGTTGTGAGAGATGTTGTGTGAGTGATGTTGTATGCGAGACGTTGTGTGTGGGATGTTGTCTGAGTGATGTTGTTGTGAGAGATGTTGTTGTGAGAGATGTTGTAGTTAGAGAGGAGGAAGGAGGAAGGAGGAGGACGAGCGAGGAGGTGCAGCAAAAAAAACACAAGAACCCCACACAACAATGTGGGGAAAAAGGATCTGTATGGCAAGCGCCACTTGATCGCGGTGGGCGGGCGCACAGAAGGTGGAGAGGATGAGCCAAAAATCAACGACCGAACCAAAGATTTGGCCCGAGCCTGTTTGCTACTTCTTGCCACCGCTTGAGCTGATGGAGGAGCTCCTGCACACCTTCTACGCCAAGCTGGTGCTGGACTTGAGCCCAGCTGATGGAAAGTTGGCGTGGGCATGCGTCAAGACTAGGACTGCGTACATGGGCATCTGCTACATTGACACCCATGTCAAGCTGATGGAAGGACGGCTCCTGGACCTAATGAAGGTGAGCATGAAGGAGACTGCCTCGCCATTGTTCAACAGTGCCTATGCGCAAGCTGTGGGGTCAACGACTTCTTCATCGCAGCCAGCGATCCCAAAGCCCAGGCCACGCCCCAAGCCAAAGGGCCAAAGGTAAAGTCGGCTCCCAACCCAAAGCCAGCTCCCAAGCCTAAGGCGGAGGCAAAGTCAGAGCCCAAGTCGAAAAAGCCGCGTCTCGAGGCAGAGCAGGCAGATGACGACGACAATGAAAAGGAGGAAGAGGCAATGGAGGAGGATGTTTGGGATCCTTTGGACGAGGGGTGAGTGGCCTTTGGCTGCTTCGGCCAGGGCCAACACCGTCTGCTGGCTGCTTCGGCCAGCGTTTTTTGAAACTTGCTGGTGCGGAAAAACTATTAGGTGTCTGGGTCTGGGTTGATAATTGAAGTCAGTCATGTATGCTTAAGTTCACAAGTTGCAAGTAAAGGATAATTGAATGTTTTGGCCCAAGGGAAAGCGTCCTTCAAAACGTGACTTTTAGTTGAATTTCACATTGCAATGCTGCGACGTCAAAATGCGCAGTTTTTCCATGATGATGGCAATAATGGAAAGGGTTGTGGCGAAACAGCTCATTTGGTTCAACAGAAACTGCTCAAGTCTTACCACCCTTGGAAGCTCTTGCAAAAATACAAATGCTTGAGCAAAAGCCAATGGCCACAGGCCCACAGACTTGCTACACACATTCTCATGGAGCTTATTTAGAGGCAGGTCGCAGCTGGGTGCGCAATCACTTGCAATCTGAAGACTGGGCGCTTTAAATTAAAGTGTGGCAAGCAACGTTAATTAAACTAGGTCTCCCACAGACTGTCGCCATGTGGCTGCTCCGGCCACTGGCGGCAGCCTGTGCGTGCGTGAATGAGGGAGCAGTGCAAGTGCAAAATGACTAGCCCTGCGCTATTTTCAAGTCTCGTTTTCTCATGTGAGCTTCTCGTGGAAGCTATTGAATTTATTTTCACCCCATGTATGTGTAAGTGAAAGTTTTTCAACACCAAGATAGTACACACACCTGAAGGTGAAAATGTGATCACAGGAATCAAACCATTTGGGAGGAGGAACTGATGAAACATAATGATGGCGTGCATCTTTGCCTTTTAGTGTTTTTGCGGTTCAGTCACCACAAAAATGTTTGAAAGTTATTTTCTATTCTCGTTTTTGCAGCTCTTTCACTTCCCATGAAAACAGTCAAAAGCAGCAAAAAAATACAAAAATACCACTATATAAAAGTAAGTGTAAGTTGCCGGTGGCGCCGTGCATGGATAAGGGACTTGGACCGGAGGAGGTGTCGTGGGGCGCCAGTTGGGGGGTGCGTTGGCTGACTGTTGCTGTGAAAGGGGCGGTGGTGGGCGCTTCGGTTGCCCGAATGTGGTTGGTAGCGGATGCGCAGGTTGCTGTGATGGGAGAAAAGTGGTAGACCGTGATGGGAGATCCGTACCGCGGATCTGAACGGCGTCCTTGGGTAAATCGTGTCCTTTGCGGAGTGGTGGACCGCGGGGGTATTTTGGAACGCGATCGGCGGGGTGCGCCACCGATTGGAGCCGTGAAGTCCGAAGGGAGTGCTGGCGGCGGGGGATTTTCCACGGTGGGTGCCGGGATCAGCTCGGCATATAGCCAATGGTCTGGGTTGCATGGGCTGTTTGTTAGCAGCAGAGGTAATGGAGGTACTGGTGGGTGGTGCAACGGTAGACTGTGGTGGCGTGGATGGTAGTGGAGAGGTGGTGGCTTGTGGAACGGCTTTTGGAGCTGCGAAGGAAGGGTAGCGAACAATGGCGTGGATGTCGGTTTGGGTGTAGGTGTGGCAGTTGTCCGGGCGTGGAGTGGTCTGCTGTTCTTCGTGAAAAGTGGGAGGGGTAATCATAATGTAATAATGTCGGTTTGTTGGGTGCGATGGGTGGTAAAATGCGTTGGTGTGGTCTGTGTGGAGTTGTGTTGCAGGACCAAGGTCCGGGTGGAGAGTGTGGGAAGATGATGGCGAACCGTCGGTGGAAGTTGAACGGGTTCCCCAGGCTGTAAGCCACTAGGGGTGGGGAATGGTGCCTCGGTGGTGGCTGGTATTGGATGGTCCTCAGTCTCCAGGTCTGGGTTGAGGAGGTAGACACTGGGCGGGTGGCGTCCCAAATAGTCGAGGGCGTCTAGGGCCCGTCGAAGGTGAACGTTGGCCAGGTTGAGGTTGGTGTTGTAATGGTGGATATGCCGTTGAAGTGCTGGTGGTAGGGTTTGCTGAAAGGGTTGATGGAGCAACGGTGTTTCGGTGAGGGCTTCGTTGGTCGTGAGGTGTTGATGCAAAGTGAACCGGTGGAGATTGAGGTCTAGAGAATGTTAGGGGGGTTCCTCTGTGAAAACTGATGCCCAAAATGAAGTGTCGCTTCCCTCATCAGGGGGCTGCTGGGAGGCCATAGCTGAGAATCGAACTGTGGGAGGAGTGGAGCTGCGAATCGTTGAAAATGGCTGCAGTGAATCCGTCTTGTCATGAGATCAATCGCTGCGAAACAGTGACGATGGATGAAGGCGATTGCTTAGGGGGCGTCAGCAAAAAACAAGTTGAACATGAAAAAAGTGTAAGAATCTGCAATCTGGAAGACGTGTGAAAAAAGGAAGATATTTTGCCATCTGTGGTAGCTAGCGGCTGGGGCGAGCGATCGAGCAAGAGACGGTGGAGGAACGATAGGGGTGGATGGAGGATGGAGTGGTGGAGGTAGTCGATGGGGCGGTTGCCCTGGACGTGATTTCTGTAGTATCGGAACATTGGTGGTGCCAGGAGGCTCCGAGGCTTGAGTTACTAAGGCGTCGAAAGCTAAGGTGGCACATGCCATCTCTACTTCTGTTGCCCTCTGTGCTCTCACTATGCCAATCTCTGTTGCCACCTCTACTTGGTACAATGGCAAAAATGAGAACCATGAGGTGCGTGCATGCTGTCCAATAGCTGGGGGAACGGAATCACACAGCTGATCACTATGTAACTCGGAAGTTTCCCAGTGGAACTCTGGAAGTTAATATCCGTAACTCGGAAGTTTCTTAATTCTAAGGGTTTGGTGATTGCCTTTTTTTGTGTATATGTATATATATATCACCAGGCCCCCCACCCAAAAAACAACTCTCGACTCGAATCTGATGTCTTTGTTTGTTCACACACCTGCATCGATCGTCTCTTTCGTATTATGTGGATACTGTTTTCTGGCAATGGCCTCCAACCTATAGCGATGGCCTCCAATCTCATGGTGCGAAGCGATGGCCTCCAACCTAAAACAAATTGCCTTCATTCTGGTTAGTGATGGCCTGTGATCACTACTAGACATGGCCCTATAGCACATGGCCTCCAACCTACTAGTGATGGCTCACACGCGGAGTTCGAGGCCTCTGAAAAAAACGCAAAGTGAACACAATGATTTAGGTTCACATGTCGATTTTTTTCTGCTGCAAGCAAGATTGGAGCACTGCGTTGTCTGCAGCAATTAAGGGGCTGCAACCACAGCGCACAGGCTGTGATTCAAAGAATCTGATGTGTTAGGACATGTTAGGGTCATGTGCTGCACATGTTCATTACAAAGTCTGTCTTCAAAACGTCCAACTCATAGGTTTGAACTGGTTTTACAAATTCTTCGTGGACAGTTTTTCCTTCATGTTGTCAGAAACACGTTTGCAATTTGTTTTCCACACAACCGCGGAACCGTGCGACATGGCAGAGCGCTTGGAAGGTGGCCTGTGACCTTTGAAGGACTAAGCATGGGGGTTGGGGCGCAGGGTTGTCTACAGATAGGCCATGAGCCTGAAGATGTCTTTGAGTTAGAACATGGAGTGAGCCTGGAGTTCTGGTCTCCTTCAACGCCCTGACCTACAGGTTTCGCATTCACCCAACCCCAAAAATCTACCTGGATAGATCCGCTGATCCACCATCCTCCCAAGCATTGTGACACCGTCGCGAAGCATCACTTCTGCCGTCCGTCTTACCTAGGCAGCCGGTTTTGATCAAACTGGGAGGCTGGTATATAGGACATATAGGACCCGGGCGGTTATGTCGTTGGAGTCATCGCAGATCAAGTCCCTTGCTTCATGGAAGACTTGGTGGTCTGGTTCCAACTGCGCCATCAAGATTGCGGACGCCCTGAGGGAGCATTGTGATCCGCTCAATCTACCCAACGTTGGGGTCTTGGTTGAGTTTAAGAGTTCCAAAAAGGTTTGCGAGAGGGACCTTGAGGGCCCACATATTGCTTCAATTGCGGAGGCTGTCCTGAAGTCATATCCTGAGTCGAAGGAAGGGTCTGCATACCTTCTGGGGGATGCTGTGATGCACCTTGATGCATATTGGGGGAATGTTATCTTGGGAAAAGACCCTCCCAACCCAGTGCTGCAGAAAGCAAGGCGGGACCGTGCTTTGAAGGAAGGAAGCAAGCTCAAATTGCTTTTGAGCTACATCCGCATCTCTTGTGGGAAGGCTGAACGTGGAAGGAAAGCTGGAGTCACATATCTCAAAGAGTTGGCTTTGAGTCACCGAAAATCCAGAAGGTCCACCACGTCTATTTCCAGTTCCTCTCTTGGTGAAGCAACGCCTGCGCCAACACCTGCCCCGGATGCACCTGCCCAACCTCCACCAGAAAAGACCCAGTCATTTGTCTGAATTCATTTCGAATAAAACTGATAGTTCAAAGAAATGTAAGAGCTTTTCAGAGCTTTTGGGATGAACGGAACTACACTGAGGACGTACCAGTTTCCACAAATGATCTCCGCAGCCCGTTCCAAGCACCACTCACTGACCAAGGCAAGGTGCCAAGCCGTTCGATGATGCTGAACTTGATCTTGAGCAGAAGACCTTGATCGTGCTCGGGTTTCTCGGTGTAACCAGTCACCTATCTGTGAGTTTGTGCTGGAAGTGTCTTTCCAAAGGACGACCATTGATAGTCCCGCTAGTAGTAACAGGTGCCTTACTAGTAGTAACAAGAAGCTACTAGTAACAAGTGCCACGCTAGTAGTAACAGGTGCCTTCCAAGCGAGCTAGCAGTGGCAAGTTGACTTCTTTTCTCAATGGTTCAGGTTGGCCCCATGGCAACCACACAGCCAGAACATGATGGAGCGTGCGCAGGCGTGGAATCGCACGCCCTCCTATACCATTAGTTGACTAGAGAAGATATGCCACTCACCTCTCTTTCTCTTTCTCACTTTAGCTGTATGTATGTATGTATGTATGTAAAATGCCATCATATTCTTTATGACCCTGTCTTTTCCATTTGATTGCAAACAGATCGAACTCGGAGGTTGTGCTGGGCTTGCCGGTT